GCTTTTAGCCACAGTTTTGCTACTTATAGCTAACATTTTTCTACTCTTGGTTTTAGGTAGCCTTTACTTCTTTTTACTTTACTTGCCTTCTGAAACTATTGGCTAACTTTAGCTTCTGTGCCTTTTTTAGGTAGCATTAAACACTAAAGTGATTTTTTTTGTTGTTTTTCCTCCTCAGGTCCTCCTTTGATGACTGATGCTCCATCCACGTTTCCTCCCACCCATGACGATGAACCCAACCGTGTCTCCCCCACCTCCCCCTCTCTTCCTGAGTCTGAACCCTCCTCCTCCTCACCTCCCACCCACTCCCCACCCGAAACGTTCGACCCGACAGAAGGCGGCCTGGATCCCCCGGCCCCACCAGAGCCGAGCCCGACGTTGCTCAACGCTCACACCACCTCCCGACCCGAGCCAGAACCCGTCACCCCACCTGTACGAAAAGCTACCCCGCCTCCCCGTAGGCCTACCAAAGTACCGGACAGCCAGGCCCCCAACATCTGTGATGGAGACTTTGACACGGTGACCATGTTGAGGGGGGAGATGTTTGTTTTCAAGGTGAGGAAACGGCATAAACATCGCACAGGAAGTTAAAAACTGAAAAATCATCAATGTGAGTGCCTTCTGACATTCACACTACTGATATCAGTTTTTCTTCCCTATGTTTTTGGCCCCTTTCTCGTTCCACAATTTTTATGCTATTTCAACAATTCATATATCAAAACGTTCAGCTCAGGACATTCCAACTATGACTTTTGGTATTTCTGATATTTATACTTTTTTAGCTATTTCACTTTTTTGGCCACTTTTTTGCCATTGAAAAATGAATGGAGCTTTTTTCAACATCCTTAAAATCCTTTGAATTGTTTCTAAATCTTTACAAAACCTTACACAATTTGTTCTGGTTTTGCTCTTATTAAATTCCCTGTGACAATTTTTTTTCAAATTTTAGCTTTTTAGTATTTTAGCTATATGTCTGCCCTTTTCTGTTATTCTTCTGTTAATTTTTTACTTTTTTGTGCTTCTTTCTGCAATTTTGAGTTATTTATTCTTCTCACAGTTGCTTTTTCTATGTTCAGCTATTTTAGCTTTTAGCTTTTATGCTAATTCAGCAATATTTTTGCTCCTTTTCACTGATTTTCTTTTTTTTTTTTTTGCTTTTTCAGATTTCCAAGTTTAACTCACAACAATACTTTTGCTATTAAATATTTTCAGCTCAATTTCAGCAGCTTTCAGCTACAGTTTTCAGCAACARGCATTCACACTAGCATTTTCGCAGGAAATGCAATACTCTAGTTATTATTTGTTTTTGTTTATTTATCAGGGACGCTGGTTCTGGCGCGTTCGGAGGAACAGGGTTTTGGATAACTACCCCATGCCGATATCTGTCTTCTGGACCGGTCTCCCGAGTGACATCGATGCAGCCTACGAACGACACGACGGCAAATTTGTCTTCTTTAAAGGTGCGATGGGGCAGTTTATTAGCAGYATGTGACGTCTTATATTCAGGTCTTTTAATAAGTTTAGCTCCTTAATAAAAGAAGCAAGAAGCCTCTCTTTCACTGTAGCCAGGATGGAAAAGTTTGAGCTTTGATTTGAGTTGGTTGGCTGAAAGGAAACTTTTTTTTTCACCAAACTGCCTAATTTATGAAGAATCGAGCACACACACAGAGAAATGTTTATATCATCTGAAGTTGCATGAAAAAGAAAGTTCCTTCTTCAGCCAAATGATTCACAGTTTAAACATCCTGACAATCCGTCTGCAGATTACAGGACGACTTTGTGATTGTGTGTCTTTGCATCATCGCATCCTGAACCAGGTTTCTGCAGCTGTTGTTGGCCCAGATCACTCCAGCTGAGGCCCAGAAGGCCTCCAGAGAAAGTTGGAGGATATCAGCCAAAATGCAAACAGCTGTGGTGCTTTTGGATTTGTTGAGCGTTTTTTTTATTTTTTTTTTTATTTTTATTTTTATAAGATTTCTGAAGCTGTTGGATCAAATTTACACTCGGAAAGTTTTACATCTTTTTGTGCAACAGAAATTGTGATTTTATTAAAGATCATCAGTCTTTTGTTTTCATTTTTGCCTGAGCATTTCCTGATATTTAATCTGCTCCCTACTGGCTGCAGGGCATTTAAAGCTGGGTCGAAGCCCGACTGAACAGATCCGTCTCAAAAACTCAACATGATTTATAAAAACTTCACCAAAGTTTGTGTCTCTGKTGTGATTTAAAGCTGTGAGAGAGAAAAAAAATGCATATGGATCTCCAGGTCTGAGTCACGCAGCCAATGTTTTTAGAGGAAGCGGTCAGCTCTTACTCCTCTTTTATGACAAACTGTAAAAAATATTTTATCTATTGTTCTTTGCTTATTTACTGAACCGACACAGAGTCAATGTATTCTCAGATAAATGAATGCCTACCTGYCCTTGCAGATGACAGGTACTGGTTGTTCAGGGAGGCGGATGTTTTGCCAGGGTACCCCCAGCCCCTGTATCAGTACGGACGGGGGATTCCAACGCACAAGATTGATACGGCTATTTGGTGGGAGCCTAACGGACAGACGTACTTCTTCACAGGAGACCGGTATAAGATGCTAAATATGATGTGGGATCTGTCAGCTGCAGTTTTTTGACCTCCTAATGATAMATAAAACTGTTTGTGTGCAGGTACTGGAGGTACAATGAGGACACCCGGACTGCAGACCGGGACTTTCCCAAACCAATCAGCAGATGGGGAAAGATTCCTCCCTCCCCGAAAGGAGCCTTCCTCAGCGATGATGGATGTATGTAAACACTGCGAGCTTTGTTTTCAGWAGAGCTTCTGTTTCTGGAAACGTAAAGCAGAAATCTATACGTTTAGTGTTGGAAGCAGCGGGGGAGTAAAAAGCAGAGATAAATGAGGTTAGTCTGCAGCTAACTGAGCAGAGAGACGAGGGTCCAGGCCTGTCCTTCCTTTGGATTTTAGATTTGCTGCAGAGCAGTGTGAAACACACTCATATCTGATCTCCACCTAAACGACCCGAACATTTCTGCAGGCGAGGCAGAGCCAAACGTACAGGAGAGGAAAAAAAAAAAAACTTCACATCGTTCAGATTTTTTGCTTCAGTTGACATTTTTTTTCTCGTTTTTTATTTTCGGACAAATTTATGATTCAATGCCTCACGTTTGAAAAARTATCTTTTGCAAAATGTGGGAACGTTGCCTCCATGGCGAGGAGTGTGAGAAAGATTAACGGCTCCCAGAAGAAACATTCCTGAGTCTGCTCTTTGTTTGCACAATGACTGGATATAGGTTTTACACTGACAGGACTGGTGTTGAAGTAAATGGGGAAGTTTTAAATAATACATTTAAAAAAAGACAGAATACATTCTGCAGCTGTAGTGCACATGTTTAGTGTAGCTTAAAGACGTCTGCTTGGGAAAAGATGCGTAAAAAAAAGCTCAGTAAGTCTTAATTTTAAGTGAARTTGGTGAAAAYGCTTGTTAGCTTGTGTTTTCTRTAAGAATTCCTCCTTAATTTTCCAAACTGAGCTCCTCCTGATTGYTGTCTACTGCAGGTGAGGTACTGATTAGTCATAAGTATCGCTTTAAACCCTTTTTCTGTTGTTCTGTGTCTTTTGGTTTGAAGTTGGTATGACCCATTATTTTCCCATGATATCCTGTTTAAAGGCTTCCTATCATGCAAAACCCACTTTTTTTACCAGTTAAATACGTTTTGTTGTGTATGTGGAGGCTCTAGGCCTGCAGAAAAGTTGAATTTATTTTCAGCCTGTTCAGTTTTCTCTGTTCCCTCTTATTGAGCGGTAATATCACAGTATTTGCTGTGGAACTGCTAAACAAGGTGAAAGAGGGGCTTGTGGACTTACAATAAGATGGTTCTTCTTTATATAGACCCCAGTTTACTGATTTAAATGTGAATTAAGGGTTTAAGGGATCCATGATTACTCGTAACATTAGACTTTATTTGATAAACATTTATTTTAACTGTAAACTAAAGACTGTAAAATACTGTAGAATGTTTAGTCTTTATAATTTTTAAACTAAATAAAAAAAAATATGTATTAAACGGACTGAGCCATTTTTTTGGCTCTTTTAAATGAAACCAGAGAGCGTTGACAGAGAGGAGAAGGTAGAAATGACTCAGCCTGTAACTGAAAATATGGATGGAGGACAACAGAGCTGCTTCATGGARGAAGAACCTCAGCTTAGCCTGTTAGCTTTAGCGTTAGCCCCGATGATGTCACCATATATATGTATTAGCTCAGCGCTACACATTCTCCTCTCRTCACTGAGGTCCTCCATCCACATGACAGAGAGGAACGCAAAAATGACTCAGCCTGCAACTAAAAATATGGATGGAGGACCTCAGTTTAGCTTGTTTGTCGCGCTAGCACTGAGCTAATACATATAACGCAATATAGCGTCTGTGTTAAAGCTAACAGGCTAAGCTGAGGTTCTTCCTCCATGAAGCAGCTCTGTTCTCCATCCATATTTTCAGTTCCAGGCTGAGTCATTTCTACCTTCTCCTCTCTGTCAACRCTCTCTGGTTTCATTTAAAAGAGCCGATCGTCAGATATTGTCCAAGATTAACCTTCAGGGTGGATATAGCTTGCTCACACTGAGGACCTATCCACGTCATCATTTACCCAGAATGCTTTGTGGGTAAATAAAATGGCTCCGTCCATGTTAAAATATTTTTTAAAAATTATAAAAACTAAACAGCCTACAGTATTTTTACARTCTTTATTTTACAGTTAAAATAAATGTTTATCAAATAAAGTCTAATGTTACAACTAATCGTGGATCCCTTTAAAAGCATCACGTCCTTTTAAATGCTGAATCTCTCATGACTCTTCTTTTCTTGCAGCCTACACTTATTTCTACAAAGGGACTAACTACTGGAGGTTTGACAACCAAAGATCAGAAGCAGACAAAGGCTATCCTCGTTCYATCCTGAAGGACTTCATGGGCTGTATGTGGGCCCCCGACCCAAAGCCGGACCCGGATCCTGAGCAGACGCCGGAGGAGAAACCAGTCRAGCCTTCAGACGGAGGTCAAGATGAGCAGAAAGAGCTGGACAAGGACAAAGACCAGGACCGGGACAAGAACCAGGGTAAAGACAAAGAGGATAAGCCTGGCGTCACAGAGGAAGAGGAGGTGAACGTGGTCGTGACCGTGGCCGACAGCGAGTCGAAGGTCATGACTCTGATCATGGTGGCGGTTCCCCTGGTGCTCATCTTGGGAATCCTGATCCTGATCTACGCCATCCTGCGGACTCTGCAGAACAAAGAGACGCCGCGGGCCTTGGTGCACTGCAAGCGCTCGCTGCAGGAGTGGGTGTGACGAGAAAAAACGAACAAACGATCACGCAGGTATTCATCGTTTCTGTGGCGCGGGGGTGAAAGTTTCACCTTTCTGCCTCGTGTTTGTCGACAGTTTTTTATTTTTGTTTTATGTTTTTGAGGTCGGTGCCTGTGGAGCAACAGTTTCTTTCATTCTGGCCTTGAACGTAGCTCTGCCAGCTCTGTGCCTTTCAGACGTCTGGAATAAAAAAGAGACATTTTACCCACTTTTAAGAGTGTTCCACAGAACACAAGGCACTCTTTAAAGGAAGTAACTTTTTAGCCGTTTGAGTGATTTAATCGTAGCGTAAACACAGTCGACAGAGCACATACGTTTTTTGTAATCGTGCTTTAACCATTTTTTTCTGTTTAGAACAGATAATTTGCACTTTTCTTACCTTTTTTTTTTATTCTTTTGCAGTTTGTTTGCAAAGTGAAGCTCCGACTAGCACAGGAATGTTGGACAGCTGCGTGTCCATGACCTGTTCCCCACTGAGCCCTTTACCCCACCCCTCCTCCTCACACACAATCCAGGATCAAATGTCAGTAKTAAAGGTTTAGCATTCCTCGAAAGAGTTCATATCTTCTGCCTCTTTTTAATGCAGTTTTAGACAGATTTGGGTCAAACTTTGAGCGATCTGTTGCATGATCTGACGACGTGTTCAGGATGACTGTCGGCTACCAGCTCACCAAATCTTAGCTCAATATCTGCAGAATTCACAGAGGCTTAGTCTTTTTCACCTGAGCTACGGTTGGTTAGCCTCTCTGTGCTCATACATGTCCACATATTCAGACACATGAACCACTTGTTAAGTCATATGGATCWTTTTTTTTTTGTTGTTGTGCACAGACTCGCAGGCTCCAGGCTTCCCCTCCTCCCACCACAACCATGCGAACTGCTTGGCCTGCATTAAAAACCCGATCCCAGAGGAGCCGTTTTGATATACGACCGGTGCCAGAGCTGGGAATTATTCGCTTTTTTATGAGAGGAATGTCGCGGCGCTTTACAAAATGTCTACGACATCTCGCAAAAAAAGAAAAAGCGAGAAGAAGTAGCAACTTTTTTTTGCTAATTTCTCATATTTTCATTTGAAGGTAAACAGATCTGGAGCTGAAGCCTGCAGGCTGCAGCAGAACCGGGTCGAGGTCTGGTGTCGATTAAACCCACATGTTGCTGATTTACTCGCGTCAGGCTTTAGAGGAGGAGGGTTAAGAATGAGGGAAAGAAAGAAGAGAAGGAGGGGCGATGGAAAGAAGGAAGGAGTYTGAGGAGGAGCAATGCTGGCGTTGCACCTCCTGACCTAGATTGAGCCGCTGACTCCTCTTCTGTCAGCTGCAGGTGATGTTCAGTTTTTTTCCCCCCTCACTTGCTTTCTCCATGTTTTTTTTTTTGTTTCACCGTTTTAACTTTGTGCACTTCAGTCTTCCCACGTGTTTTCATTTTGTCCTCCACTCTGCTGGAAAATTCARGCATTTAGCAGATAATAAATGCACAGGAACATCTGCCGGATGTGATTTGATCTCGTCTCTCTGTGGGACGTTCCACTCTGAGGCTTTTTAAAACATGTTGCAGTTTTTAACCCTTTTTCCCCCCTCCCACGTGTTTTTATTTGAAGTAACATTAGATTAAAAACCAGTTAATGGTTCTTTTTGTACATTTAGGTTTTCTGTAGATCATGATGATGATGTTAATGCATGCAGGGCATGTTCTGTAAGGCCTTTTAAAAGTTTCACAATAAAACTCACAGCTGAAAAAGCAGCAGGAGTCTTTTTTTTAAATTTGTGTCAAGTTTTGATTTGACAATGGTTTGACCACAAGAGGGCGCAGTTGCTTCAGAGAGATTTAAAGAAAATCAAGTCAAACAAAATAAGTAAATGTACCTTCCACAAATATTTTTATTAAAAAGAGGCCTGTAAGAAAATATCGAATAAAATATTTTTAACTAGAAAAAATGAGTGYTGAAGTCTAATGAAGAATCTGAAAGCTGAACATAAGCTAAATTTTAATGTTAGTTGAATTGTGAGGATCTTTAAGAGATAAAGAGAAATAAATGCACAGAAAGATTAATAAAAGACAGAAATATAGGTAAAAATAAGACGACAGAAAAACTAAAAAAGGCACAAAAAAACAAAATGTATAAAGATTTATAAAAGGTACAAGGACATTAGACAAAAATAAAACACAAAAAGACTAAATGTATTCATAAAAACAAAAATTACATTGGTTCAAAGAGAATGTTGGAAAAAAACAAAGGCAGGAAAAAAACAAATGCAGTAATGGATTAATAAAAGACAAAAAAGACACAAATCGTCTAAATGGATCTATTAAAAGACAAAATGTACTGCACAAAAGAATTAATGAAACACAAAAAGACTAAATGGATTCATAAAAAAGTGACAAATAGGTTCAAACAAGATGACAGGAAAAACAAAAAAGGCACAAAAAATAAAACAAATGCACAAATAGATTAATAAAATACTAAAAAAAATGTAAATGGGTCCATAAATTGACTAAATAAATTGATTAAAAGACAAAATGAATGCACAAAACGATTGATACAAAACAAAAAAGACATAAAAAGAATAAACGGCCCCATAAACAAAAATGACAGGCATGAACAAGAAGACAAAAAAGGWATAAAAACAAAATGAATGCATAAAAATTCATAAAGACAAACAGAACACAAGAATAGACAAGAAACATTGATAAAAARRMMAAA